TGCATTTCACTGATTATAACGGAACGTAAATCTTTCGGTGGATATTTAATTAGTCCGTGGCAAATAATAACTTTAGTAGGAGCGTCGGTGAATATTGATTGTATATGTGATTTGACGTCATTCCATGGAACATTATTAATAAACTCGGTTTTTGCAATACTAAATGTTTCTAATTTTAAATCTTCAGTTATTTTCCGTAAGTCTGTTAAGATTTTAACAATTTGTTTAAGAGTAGCTGTAGGGCCTTCTCGTTGTTCTTCGCTGACAGGTAAAGCCACATGATAATGATTTTTATGTTTTATGGCCTTAACCTTTCCTAGAACAAGGGATCCTAGGTTTGGAAGCTCTTTTCGTTCGAAAAGTTTTTGTGAGCCTGAATCTAAAGGTCTTCCCTGGGTGTCGACTATATATATTAGGTGTACAACTTTGCTTCCGCCGTTTTTCTATAGATACCTTGAGCGGTAAGTAGTGGTCGAAATAAATAGATCATAGACGTCATGCAATAAACTTGGGCATCTGTCAACATAACCCCATAGAAACATTAGTCGATTTGTGTCTGCATCATAAAGTTATTCTCGATTGAAAATGTCAGTTTACGAGCCAAATTCTCGTCATTTGCGGGAGGTTTTAATTTTCTGCTTCAATATGAAGAAATCTGCGGCTGAGGCTCATCGAATGCTCTCAAATACTTATGTTGAGGCCGCTATTAGTGAAAGAACGTGTCGTGAGTGGTTTCAACGCTTCAAGAACGGTGATTTTCACGTTGAAGACCGGCATAGCGGTGGAAGAGAGAAGGTTTTCGAAGATGCAGAATTGGAGGCATTACTTAATGAAGACTCGAGTCAAAGTCAAGAAGAATTGGCACGATCATTGGGAGTGACTCAACAAGCAATTTCAAAACGCCTCAAAGCCATGGGAATGATTCAGAAGCAAGGAAATTGGGTGCCGTACGAGTTGAAACCGAGAGATGTTGAATGGCGTTTGTTTGCTTGTGAACAGTTGCTTGAAAGGCAAAGACGGAAGGGATTTCTGCATCGCATTGTGACTGGGGTCGAAAAATGGGTTCATTACGATAACCCCAAGCGCAGAAAATCATGGGGATATCCCGGCCAAACCGAATATTCACGGCTCCAAGGTCATGCTCTGTATTTGGTGGGGCCAGCTCGGCGTAGTGTGTTATGAGCTGTTAAAACCGACTGAAACAATCACAGGCGATCGTTATCGAACGCAATTAATGCGTTTGAGCTGAGCATTAAAAGACAAACGGCCGCAATACAACGGATAAAGTGATAAAGTGATTTTGCAGCATGACAATGCTCGACCCCATGTTGCGAAAGTGGTCAAGACATACTTGGAAACGTTGAAATGGGCCCCACCCGCAGTCCTACCCCACCCGCTGTATTCTCCAGACGTTGCTCCCTCTGACTATCATTTGTTTCGATCAATGGCACACGGCCTGGTTGACCAGCACTTCTGGTCTTATGAAGAAGTAAGAAATTGGATCGATTCGTGGATCGCTTCAAAAGATGACCAGTTTTTTTAACGCGGGATTCGTACGCTTCCCGAAAGATGGGAGAAAGTAGTGGCCAGCGATGGACAATACTTTGAATCATAAATGTATAACCAGTTTTTTACAATAAAGCCCCGAATTTCGGAAAAAAAACGGCGGAAGCAAAGTTGTACACCTAATAACATGCATAAAAAGTACATTTTTTTGACAATATATATTTCTTATTATGGGCCTTATTGTATATACAGGGTGAGTTTTTTAACTTGGAACTGTAAAATATCTCGGAAAGTAAGCTTTATCGAAAAAAATGTTTCAAACAAAAGTTGTAGGGTTCGGAGGGGGCCACATGATAAAAATATGGATTTGACCTTGAGTTACCTTTTCAAGGTAAGATCAAGATAATACGGTAATATTAAAGAATTCGAAAGTTTGTCTTGTTCAAAACATTATTCTCTCGCGTGAACATTATCAGTTGGCAGTTAAAGAATTTTGCAGAGTTGAAGATTTTTTTGATGTTGGTTTGCCATCGTCTTCAGTAGGTGTCTTTCGATGTTCTTCATTATCTGATGAAGTTATTATAATAAATCTTAATGAAGTACAGAATAAATGTTTTCGCATGCCTTATTGGCATACTGAAGGGCATAGCGATCCTATTATTAATGTCTGGGTAGTTGCAGTTATTCTACATACCAGAGATTAAAATGGATTATTATTAGGTAGGTTTTCTGAAATTTTTGTTCAGATGAGTCAACAAGGACGAGGAAGAGGAAGAGACACGGAGAAGACTAATAAATTAACATCTAAAGCATTGCAATTGCTGAGTACGGATATTGCAAAATATCGCACATCCCACTCTCAGCAATTGCAACGAAGAGACGTAAAAAACATACAAGGACATACGACACGAAACATGACTGTTACAACAACTACACAAAGACAGACAGCACCATTACAATATTCACAATCTCCAGTATCATCATCCCTGCATGCTTCATCATCATCATTCTCACGTGCACAATCATATGAACACATGCCCTCTCCATCAGTACAACATAGAAACATTTCATCACGCTCTTCTTCATCAGTCGCTCAATCATTTGTACGAAACATTCCTCTAACATCAAAATCATCACCACAACGCAAACAAACATCATCACTCTCTTCTTCGACCGCCCAATCATTAGCACGAAACATTCTTCCACTATCAAAATCCCCATCACAGCTGAAACAAACATCATCACGCTCTCTTTCACCAGCCATAAAATCATTCACACAAAACATTCATCCACCATCAAAACCATTATCACAATATAAACAAACATTATTACGACCATCTCCATCACCATCTTCATCAACTGTACAACGCAATTTACGCCTATTACCAGTCAGAGAAAATAGCCAAGAACATAAAGAAGAAGGGACACCAGATGAAAGAATATCCCACGATATAGTGCGGTCTTTAAAGTAAGTTTCAAAAATAATTACAAATAAAATAAAATAATAACAAAGATTGTCTATGTGTCTGAATGAAAACATTCATTTTATTTTAGAATGATCATGACGCAACTACGTCGTATGGAAGAGCGACAAATTTCCATCGAAAAGAAAACTGAGTAAATATTAATAATTTTACTAAGGAACAACAAACAACTTACTATAAATAAATTTTTAATCTTACAATTTCATATTTTTCTGCAGTGAAAATACAACGGCCATTAAACGGTTAATGCGAGAGTCTGCAGTAAAGAGACCAATAAAGCCACAGGGAATTTCCTTTAAAACCGTCGACGATTTCTTGGCCTTCGAAGAAGTTGACGAAGAAATTTACAATGACTTGGTAAGATTTTTTTCTAAATATATATTTATAGTAATTCAGTTTACTACTAAAATTTTGTTACAGGTGGGGTACTTTATTTATCTTGGACGGACCAATCCAGTTGATTGCGCTGCAGAATATTTTCGCAGCATATTTCCCGAAGATGAGGAGATTTCGTCATGTTTAACTTTAAACGGAAGAACTGGACCAGGGGGATGCAAATTGCGAGACAGTCGTTTCGCTCAAGCATGTCAAGGTTCGTAAAAAATGCACCGTCTATCATTGTTTATATTGTACATTAAATACATGACGATAACTAAAGTATTTTTTATGAATTTTTTTTCCAGATGCTATAAACGCCAATAAATATTTTCCAAATCCCAATAACATGGAATTCTATGAAGCTTTGGAGAAAGCTCTGAAAAGTCTCAAAACTAGAAAATGGCGTTATAATAGAAAACGACGACAAGTCCCTCTTGATGAAGAAAATGAAGAAGTCCCACCAAATCGACATCGGCGAATAGACAATGCGGAAGTGGACATAGAGTTCGAAGACATTCAGAAGGAAGCTGAGGACGCCAGGAACGGACCAGAAAAAACCCAGCATCAAGATTGGGTAAGTTAATTTTTTTTAATTAAGTTAGGTTCAATGTTAATGACCCAAAAATTAACTAAGTTTATGTTAAAAGTTATTTAAACAATAATTAACTCAATTAAAATTAAGTTAAAAAATTATTAACTTATTAAAAAGTTAAAAGTTAATTATGCAAAACTTATATATGTATTTTACGTAATTAATCTTTTAATTATATATTTAAAATTTAACTTTTTTTAAAATTAGATAATATAATAAAACGGTAATTTTTTATAAGAGGGATAATATATTTTTTCTTATATAATAATTAATAATACACATTATTTAAATATACATTTAAATATATATAGTTATCTAATAGAGATATTATTGTGTTTAAAAACAAAATGGTTAATAAGATGATTTCGATTAACGATAAGAGGACTTTCCTGTTTAATTTGAATTGCTCTACCTGCACACGTCCTGCACCTGTGCTCTACGTGCTTTTTATCTTTATCTTTAATTGTTAAATATTTTAACAATAAATTTAAAAATTTAAAAATAACAATTTAAATATGTTTATTGAATTTTAATGTCATCTCAAAATTATAGTTTATCAGTTTTTCTCTTAAGTCATCATATACTAAACTACCTGCACTAAACAAACGTTCTATGTGTGCCGAGAATGACATCGTTGTGTAAGAACACACGTTTTAATGGTACTAGATACTATCTTATTATAATTATTGATAAACCAAAGATACAAAATTTTAACTTGTATGAAAAAAGTTAATAAATTAATGCATTTAAAAGTAATTAGTTTAAGTTAAAAGTTAACACGTTTAAAATTAACTAAACAATAAGTTAAGTTAAACATTATTAACTTTTTAATTCAATTTTTAACTTTTTAATTATTTACTATCCAACCCTGCCCAGCACACGGAGGAAATTGAAAACGCCGATGTCGTTCCAAAAATAAATAGCGTTTTTGTTGATGGAAAATATAATCCAGGTTTAAAACTTTCAGCTAGATTACTTGAAATTATGACGACACGTTTACAGCAAGTTAAAAATTATTGCCCTAAAGAATTTTCGCGAAAACCGATATTAATGAAAAAATATGGAGGGTTTAAGGCTACGGAAAATCGCCAACTTGTTTTATATACTGCTCCAGTTGTTTATTATAGACTCATAAATGCTGCTGCATATAAACATTTTTTTCTATTACATTCCGCCATTCGAATTTTGGTCAGTTCTTCCTTATTAGAAGACTATCTTGATTTTGCATATACAGCATTAAGGATTTTTGTGAATAGAGCAGAAGATATATATGGTCCAGAATTCCTTTCTTATATTACTCATTGTCTTTTACATCTCGTAGATGACGCGAGACGCTTTGGCTCATTAAATGAATTGTCTATGTTTCCCTATGAAAATAATATGATTTATTTCCGCAAGGTTTGCCGCAAGCCTCATCAGCATTTGCAGCAAATTGTAAATAGGCGATTTGAAAAGTTTCAAGTTACACAAAATCTTGTAAATATAACTGAAGAAGTAGTGCGTTCCAGTAAACCGTGGGTTAGTCCTGTAGTTTTTGATATCCCGCTAGATAGTCATCAGTTTCAGATCTTAGACACAGGAAAATTTCGTATATCGGTGAAAAATCAAGATAATACGGTAATATTAAAGAATTCGAAAGTTTGTCTTGTTCAAAATATTATTCTCTCGCGTGAGCATTATCAGTTGGCAGTTAAAGAATTTCGCAGAGTTGAAGATTTTTTTGATGTTGGTTTGCCATCGTCTTCAGTAGGTGTCTTTCGATGTTCTTCATTATCTGATGAAGTTATTATAATAAATCTTAATGAAGTACAGAATAAATGTTTTCGCATGCCTTATTGGCATACTGAAGGGCATAGGGATCCTATTGTTAATGTCTGGGTAGTTGCAGTTATTCTACATACCAGAAATTAAAATAGATTATTATTAGGTAGGTTTTCTGAAATTTTTGTTCAGATGAGTCAACAAGGACGAGGAAGAGGAAGAGACACGGAGAAGACTAATAAATTAACATCTAAAGCATTGCAATTGCTGAGTACGGATATTGCAAAATATCGCACATCCCACTCTCAGCAATTGCAACGAAGAGACGTAAAAAACATACAAGGACATACGACACGAAACATGACTGTTACAACAACTACACAAAGACAGACAGCACCATTACAATATTCACAATCTCCAGTATCATCATCCCTGCATGCTTCATCATCATCATTCTCACGTGCACAATCATATGAACACATGCCCTCTCCATCAGTACAACATAGAAACATTTCATCACGCTCTTCTTCATCAGTCGCTCAATCATTTGTACGAAACATTCCTCTAACATCAAAATCATCACCACAACACAAACAAACATCATCACTCTCTTCTTCGGCCGCTCAATCATTAGCACGAAACATTCTTCCACTATCAAAATCCTCATCACAGCTGAAACAAACATCATCACGCTCTCTTTCACCAGCCATAAAATCATTCACACAAAACATTCATCCACCATCAAAACCATTATCACAATATAAACAAACATTATTACGACCATCTCCATCACCATCTTCATCAACTGTACAACGCAATTTACGCCTATTACCAGTCAGAGAAAATAGCCAAGAACATAAAGAAGAAGGGACACCAGATGAAAGAATATCCCACGATATAGTGCGGTCTTTAAAGTAAGTTTCAAAAATAATTACAAATAAAATAAAATAATAACAAAGATTGTCTATGTGTCTGAATGAAAACATTCATTTTATTTTAGAATGATCATGACGCAACTACGTCGTATGGAAGAGCGACAAATTTCCATCGAAAAGAAAACTGAGTAAATATTAATAATTTTACTAAGGAACAACAAGCAACTTACTATAAATAAATTTTTAATCTTACAATTTCATATTTTTCTGCAGTGAAAATACAACGGCCATTAAACGGTTAATGCGAGAGTCTGCAGTAAAGAGACCAATAAAACCACAGGGAATTTCCTTTAGAACCGTCGACGATTTCTTGGCCTTCGAAGAAGTTGACGAAGAAATTTACAATGACTTGGTAAGATTTTTTTCTAAATATATATTTATAGTAATTCAGTTTACTACTAAAATTTTGTTACAGGTGGGGTACTTTATTTATCTTGGACGGACCAATCCAGTTGATTGCGCTGCAGAATATTTTCGCAGCATATTTCCCGAAGATGAGGAGATTTCGTCATGTTTAACTTTAAACGGAAGAACTGGACCAGGGGGATGCAAATTGCGAGACAGTCGTTTCGCTCAAGCATGTCAAGGTTCGTAAAAAATGCACCGTCTATCATTGTTTATATTGTACATTAAATACATGACGATAACTAAAGTATTTTTTATGAATTTTTTTTCCAGATGCTATAAACGCCAATAAATATTTTCCAAACAAAACATTCATCCATCATCAAAACCATTATCACAATATAAACAAACATTATTACGACCATCTCCATCACCATCTTCATCAACTGTACAACGCAATTTACGCCTATTACCAGTCAGAGAAAATAGCCAAGAACATAAAGAAGAAGGGACAACAGATGAAAGAACATCCCACGATATAGTGCGGTCTTTAAAGTAAGTTTCAAAAATAATTACAAATAAAATAAAATAATAACAAAGATTGTCTATGTGTCTGAATGAAAACATTCATTTTATTTCAGAATGATCATGACGCAACTAAGTCGTATGGAAGAGCGACAAATTTCCATCGAAAATAAAACTGAGTAAATATTAATATCTTTATTTACCTTGGACGGACCAATCCAGTTGATTGCGCTGCAGAATATTTTCGCAGCGTATTTCCCGAAGATGAGGAGATTTCGTCATGTTTGACTTTAAACGGAAGAACTGGACCAGGGGGATGCAAATTGCGAAACAGTCGTTTCGCTCAAGCATGTCAAGGTTCGTAAAAAATGCACCGTCTATCATTGTTTATATTGTACATTAAATACATGACGATAACTAAAGTATTTTTTATGAATTTTTTTTCCAGATGCTATAAACGCCAATAAATATTTTCCAAATCCCAATAACATGGAATTCTATGAAGCTTTGGAGAAAGCTCTGAAAAGTCTCAAAACTATAAAATGGCGTTATAATAGAAAACAACGACAAGCCCCTCTTGATGAAGAAAATGAAGAAGTCCCACCAAATCGACATCGGCGAATAGACAATGCGAAAGTGGACATAGAGTTGGAAGACATTCAGAAGGAAGCTGAGGACGCCAGGAACGGACCAGAAAAAACCCAGCATCAAGATCGGGTAAGTTAATTTTTTAAAATTAAGTTAGGTTCAATGTTAATGACCCAAAAATTAACCAAGTTTATGTTAAAAGTTATTTAAATAATAATTAACTCAATTAAAATTAGAAAACACGAACCGATCAATCCCGTCGAGACGCCTATTAAAGAGGAATGCTCAATTCTGGAAAAGAAAGGAAATGATGAATTATTGTCCGTGCATTGCAGCAAGAGCTTCAATTGAAGAGCCATTTGCGTTTTTACACAGGCGAGAAGTCCTCTGAGTATCCCGTTTGCCATAAATCTTTCGCAAATCGGTACGATAAAATAATTGTTTTTTTTTTAAATATATGTACAATTTTTAATAATAATCAAAAGAGAAAAAGAGGGAAAGAAGCCGGTACGGAAAATATATTCTTGTTCTGGTACTCTACTGGTACTGTAAGAGTACAGCGTACGATCGTTAACCCTACGTCATGTGCACTGTGGCGTTACGGTAGCCCCCCCACTCCTTAAATAAAGGCAAACGCTCGGTCTAGATATACTATGTCTATGCGGTAGCCGTACCGCGTACCAATACGGCGTACTGGTAACGTACGCCTACGGTACGCACGTACCTGATAGTTACAGTACTGATACGTAGAGTACGTCGTTCGCTCACTGTATTAGTATCGTGGAAGTATTTTGTTATCTGGGCAATTATAATAAGGAAATTTTATAATTTTTTAACCTCATTGACCAACCACCAAAATATTATGCAGCATCTATATCGACTAATCTCTTATCGACCGCAGTCATAGAAAAAAGCACTGTTAGAATATTTTTATTATTTATATATAGATTTATTTTTTGCATAACTTGATACGTTATTCAGAAAGAGCACCGGCGATAATAGATAACATCGGTTTAAAACAAGGCAATCGCTAAAGAAACCGATGTCGTTCAAAGACTGCATTTTTTCCGTGCTTTGTATTGTTGAAATTATGGCATTAAAGTGTTAAAAGTTGTATATTTATGATTCTTAAAACATGATAGCGCGACGAAATTTTTTACATTATCGCCAATATCCCTCGTGCAATATAAATTTTCTCCTTGATTTCGACTACCGCCAAAGATATCGTTGTTAATAGAGAAAAATATTATTCTACCCAGTCAGCAAAGTCTGTTCGAACAGATTTTACCAAACGTCTGCTACAAATTTTTGTCAGCAAAAAGACTGCAGATTGTATACAAAATCTGTTACATCAGATAATAATAGCAGAATGTCAGCAGAAATATTACAGAACCTGCTGACATAATTTGACAACAGATCAGTAGCAGAAACCGAACAGGATTTGCACAGAATTATCATAGCAGATTGGCAGCAGAAACCAAGCAGGATCTGCACAATGCAGTTTGATGCCAGATTGGCGGCAGAAACCGCGCAAGATCTACGCGTGCGCAATCTGACGACAAATTAACAGCAGAAATCGTGCAGAATATGCAGCTTTTAGCTATTTATATAATTTATTGAAATAGTATATTTTATTCGCTTACCGCTATGCGGCGCACTATTCACTTAGTATACTCGTATTCATGTTTTTGTCATGAGCATATATAAAGTCTGCAAAATGGGGCTAATAATATATGTAATTATTTCCATCAGTTTAATTTCTGATATGATTCCTGTACAGGGGAATTCAGATATTGAACTGATTTTTGGGAAATCGGACAGATAAATGTCCGTCAATTTATGTCCGAATAAGTAAAAATATTTTGTTATTATCTATTTAAGATATAAAAAATAGAAATTAACTTCTATTGTATATAAATAAAATCTTTAAATTTATAAATTAAATTATTTAAATTTTCCTATATATATTATATTAATATATGTTATTAATATTATATATTTATATGTTATTAATACAAACATCAGCAAATGACGTCCCGTGAATGTGACATATCAATTATTGACGTCATTTTCGAGTCTTATGAGACCTAATTTAGAACGTCTAATTGGTCATTTTGTGACCAAAATTTAACATTTTTTGTCTCAATAAAACAAAGATATATTACATACATTGTATATCTTATTTATTATCTTTTAAGCAAAACGAGCAATATAAATTAATGAAGCATTTAAATGCCCGCTATTCCAGTTAAATTATGACGACAGATCCTACTCGATTTCTGCCACTAATCTGACATCAAACTGCGTTGCGCAGATGCTGCTCGGTTTCTGCCGCCAATCTGGCATCTAACTGCGTTGCTCAGATCCTGCTTGATTTCTGCCGTCAATTTGCTGTCAGCTTATGTCGACAGGTTCTGCCGGCAGAACACAAGCTTAATGCGGACGCAATTGATGCCAATCTGCTGCAATATTCTGCTTGAATCTGCTCGCAAACTGCTGGCAGACTGCTAACATTTTGCTTACTGGGTACATGATCTCCGCTACAAGGATTGACGTATTAAATTTTAAAATTAATAAAGTTACGATTATTAAAGCGATACAACGGGCCAAAATCGCGTTGCCTTTGCCTGGGTCCTTCGCATCAAATACATTCTTCGCTTACATCTCGTCTACCATTGAAGATATCGATACTATTCGAGAAAGACACTATTATACATGATCTCCGCTACAAGGATTGACGCATTAGATTTTTAAAATTAATAAGTTGACGATTATTAAAGCGATAAAGCGTGCCGAAATCGTCCGCGTCAGATACATTCTTCGCTTACATCTCGTCTACCGTTAAAAATATCGATACTATTCGAGGAAGACATTATTCTACATGGTCTACGCTACAAGGATTGACGCATTAAATTTTTAAAATTAATAAGCTGACGATTATTAAAGCGATAAAACGGGCCGAAATCTCGACGTTATATAGGGCTGTTCCGCTTTTATAATGAACACTACTTAGAAAAAGATACAATTCGTAAAATATTAATAGCGTAATTTCAATAGCACACAGTATGTAAAATAATGTAGTTCTTGAACAACACGTCAATTTCTTTAAAAATTGCTGTGATTTAAGAGATAGATTATTAAAGCGATATAGTTGGCGAAAATTACGACGTCTTTTCCTGCGTCATTCGCGTCTAATGAATCTATCTCTTAAATCACAGCAATTTTTAAAGGTGATTTGAAGTTGTTTTTGTTGCGTGGAGCCATGCGTGCTGCTAAGTTCATTTTGTAGCGAGAAATGTGACTCGCGACGTGCTGCGTGGTGGGCTCGGCGGTTAGATTTTCAAGATAGATTCAGTGCTATTTTTCAAGCGTGTTGCTCGGATTCTAGCGTAGTTCGTCCAATCAGACAGTCACGTGTAATAAGCCAGTTAGTTTGTTTATATTTGCCGGGCCGGAAATTTTCGTAAAAATGTTGCAACTTGTGGCACAAATTGGCCAGTCAACGAAATGGACAAAAGAACAAATTTCAGTATTAATCAAAGCATACAAAGAAGAAACGTGCTTGTACGCTTTTCAGAGTCCCAATTATCATAACAAACATTTACGGGCAGAAGCATTGATGAGAGTATGTAATGCTGTAAATAATGTTCGGCTTAATACTACAACTAAAGAATGCCAAACGAAGTTCCACAACCTAAGAATTCAGTTTAATGTGGAAAATACGAAAAGAAGATCTTCAATAAAAAGTGGCGTCGGAACGAATGATGTTAGTATCAATATTAAGTATATATAACTTTAATTTTACAACTTTTTAATTTTGTTTTGAACTATGGTTTTATTGAAATTAATGAAATAATTCCATGTGTTTGTATTTTAGATACTGTTAATTGTATTTTTTGATAGTAGATACTATCACTAAACTGTCCTCTAAAAATTACATGCTACTTATTGCAACTTTAGCTGTAATTGTTATTTGACTGTAGTCATAATATATTCTGAGAATTAGATACGAGGGCGCACAAAATAAAATAAATAAAACAACAAGTAAATAAATAAAAGAGACACGTTGCTAGGACGCGAAAAACAAGAAGTGCAGTAGGCATAAATTTCAAAAATTGGTCTAAAGTGTGCTTATTCCCAGCTCTAACTTAGGAGATTATTAGGACAAGTAATTTAGTTTAGTTTTATTTTTTGTCACAAATATTTTTTGCATG